CCCGCCCCACCCCACCCCGCCCCGCCCCGTCCCGTGGCGGGGGGGCGGCCACTCTCCGAGGGGCGGCGCGCCCGCGGCGCTGGCCCCCTCCGAGCAGGCCCCCACCGAGGCGCAGCATGGTGCGCTGCGTCCCGCCCGTCGCGCTGGCGCTCGTCGCGGTGCTCGTCGCGGTGCTGGCGACCGCGCGCGCCCAGGAGGAGCACGACCAGGGCAGGACAGGTGAGCACGGCGAGGGCGCGGACCAAGCCGCCGAGGTCCACCACAGCGAGAACGTCACCTCCTTCTGGACAGCGTCGTCGGCATGCTTGGTCCGTGGTCTCCCGGGTCTCCCGTTGTCAGCACGAGCGAGGAAAGCATCGCGTCAGCCAGGAAAATGCTACGCGTCGGCCGAGAACAAGAACGACAGCAACGTGATCAGTGCTTTCATGAAACAAAACTTACATTGGGCCTACCCTAAATGTGTGCTGTGTGGATGGTGGTAGGGTACTTCAAATGGGTTCAATCGTTGGAGCAGGAGTCGGAAACGGAAGTTGGGAATGAGAGCAGGAGCAGAGCCAATTTGATGAGAAATTGTCAATAAGTTTAGTTTGACCTCAAAGATACCAAACACGGGGCCTAAACAAAAACAACGTTCATTCGCGTGACACCTTGTCTTTTCCGCGCTCGATTGTGCAGAATCCGCCATCTCGGTGTGCGACTCGATCAGCTGCGAGCTCGACTGCCGGAAGAAGACCAAGGACTGCGGCGCATTCGGCTGCAACGGCGTGTGCATCGGCTTCTCGTGCCAGTGCTTCACCAAGCCCCGGGCGCCCAGCGGCGGCTGGAAGGAGTACAACCCCCTGTGAGTGCAGGGGAGCGCCCGGCCGCCGCCCGCGAGGCCGCCGGCGAGGCCGCCCGCCCGCAGCACGACCGGGGGTGCGTACGTACGGCACGAGGCATTCCGCGAGGGGAAAATCATTTCAACTATTACATATCTGCACCGTCTGTGAAGGCAACACACCACAGTGTTGCGGGTTTGCCTACCAGATCTGCCCGTAAGGCGCCATAGCCCCCTCGGTATGCAAACCCGCAACACTGGGGAGTATTAGCCTTTTCACTCGGTACCGATGGCGCAGTAACTTGTACTAACAGTGTAACAACGCGTAGTTATTAATGCACTCTAAACGCTGTGGTGACCTATAGCTTGCCAAAATATTGGCACTCCTTTATGATTGCCCAAATTTTGGACGTCTTATGGCCACTATTTGCCAAAATTTAATAGGTTTTTAAGAGAATTAAGGCCACCTTTTGGCCGCTTCAAAGGTCGAATTTTGGAAAGCAAAGAGGCAGACTCTAAAAGTCAGCAAAAACTTTGCAATCTAAAAAGAGTCCCAACATTTTGGCGATCAAGGCGGCCACGGCGTTTAGAGTGTGGTAGGAATAAATAGCATAATATAACTGCATAATTTTGTGTAAATTATGAAAAAGTACGCAAAAACTAAGGTGTCCTAACGTGTACTAACGAACCAACTCGTACACTCTACTCCGGAATGATTTCCCCTCCCATTCTGCACACCGAGGCCCAGAACGGAAGTAAGTAGCACAAGACATCTTGGTTCCGGTCGTGAGCTCGGTGGCGAGTCAGTCATAGTGGTTTGCCCTTATCTTTAATCCGCCTCACGTGAAAGGATGTGCGCCAACTATTTGTTTGTGAAAGATGGAAATGTCCTCAAAACGTCATATTAATGCTTTGCAAGCAAAAGAACAATTTCAGTTTCTATTGATCATCTCTTACGATACCGACGAGTGGAGTGTATCATAGCGGTCGTAACGAATGTTTCGTGTCTGTTCACAGCGCGGAGGGGTACGAGTCACTCTATGGCACCCTGTACGACTCCGGAGGAGGATCACAACCCGTCCTTCAACAACAACTACAACAACAACAGCAGCAGCAGCAGATGCTGCTACTGCAACAGACGCAGCAACAGCCACAACAACAGTTCTTCCAACCGCCACCGCCGCCACCACCACCGGCACCCACTCAACAACCCCCACTGGTGGTGGTCCAGCAGCAGCAGCTCCACCAGATACAACAGCAGCAGCACCAGCACCAACAGCAGCAGCAGCAACAGCAACAGTTGTACCTGCAGCTGCAGCTCCAGCTGCGGCAGCGCGTCCAGGAGCAGCTGCAGCAGCAGGCGCAGCAGCACCAACAGCTGACCCAGCAGCTCAGCCAGCAGACAGAGCAGGCCGAGCTGCAGGACACGCAACCACACTTACAGCAATTGCAACAACAACAACAACAACAACAACAACAACAACAACAACAACAGTGGCAACAAGTTCAACAATACGACAACGTGCAGCAACTGCGTTAACGGCTGACTTGTTATTTGGTGCGGCGGGGTGGGCTGGGCTAACAGGGCACTCCAGTCTATTTGGAACGCAGAGGACAAACTCTCCCAATCTGCTGTTTGAGGTTGTTCCGGATGAGTTCCGGTTGATTGGCCAAGTCAAACACGTTCCAGTTCGTTCCAAAACATGAGTTTCTCATGACAGTTTCTCATACCACCATGTTTTCTTTCCAGTTTGTCCACGCCTCTACATCTTGTTACTCTTTCTACTTCCGGTCTCAGCGCAACTCGGGTTACGTGATTAGAAGAACCATACGCGTCTGTTAGAGGATTTCGTTCCAACAAGAATTTTTCCTAAATTGTGTAATAGATGAAAATTTCGTTTTTTGGAGCTTCACCCTATACAAAACGTCAGAATGCACTGGAAAGATCCAGCAGGGGAAAGCCTTGTGCTACAGTAGCAGGACCTTTTTTCTGCGTTGTAGACTTTTACTGGAAAGGGAAAAGAAAGCAGTGGGGCATAAATCGAAAGATCGAGAACCGTAATAACTGAAGTCACGTCGTAGCCCCCTGCCATGGGAAGGGGGGGGGGGCACTTCCAAAGCTCGGTAACAAGTTATTGCAGAGCATACTGTTACGGTAAGTACGTTTATTTGGAGGATTTTATACGAATCTTGAAGAAGTTAGGGTAGGTTCTTTTTCCCACCAGTTGGGTTTATTTGAATATTGAAATTTAAACTTTTTAATTGCAACACTACTTGAGAGTAATTGAAGGGCACGATATTTTGAAAGTAGCTTTAATGAACTGACACTGCAAACACTGATAATGAGGCGTCCCTCAAAAATATTAATTATCTACTTATATACACACTATACACCCTAAGTAACAATATAGATACTGTCACATGAACTTGTCCTGAGTAACTTAGACTACCAGAGACAACAAGCAGGAAACTGCCAAAGTAATAATGAAGAATGATAAACCATTCGTAAATTTGATCCTTATAAACAAGGTCAATCAATATCCTACGCTGGGCCCAGATTTACAAGAAGTATGTAACTCACCAGAGTTGATCATGCGCGGCCTGTGCGGCGACGAGCGAGGCGGCCCGGGAGGGGCGGCCTGGTGTTGTGGGGCCCATCAGCGTCCTCGCCGTCCAAAACAGAGTGGGGACTTTGGGCATGTTGGCGGTGGCTTCGGGAGGCGAGTTCAGTGAGGGCCTAGCCCATCATGGAGGCGACACGCCGAATACCCCAAGCCCTTGGGGGCTTGGTTTACGTTGAGCTATCCATAAGGTGGCGAGCAGGAGCACAAGAATTCGGTATTTCACGCGCACAACAGTTTGCACGAAACGAGGCCGAACGCGTCTCGTCTGCTGACCGTCCGGTCCTCACGCTCCGCTCTCCTCTCTCGACTGACGCGCGCGCGCGCGGTGGCACTACCTCTCGGCGGCCGGGTCAGGCGTGCCCGAGGGAGCCAAACGGGTTGCCTACCCATTAGGCGTACTCTACTCAGCTTTGTCGTCCGCAACAATACAAGCCCACGTCCATCTTCGTGCCCACTTGCTGACCTCACTACTCACGGCATGGCTGGCAGATCAAATCGGCAGAAGGACACCGATGCGACATGTCCTGCCCTGCACCACTCTCCACAGCACAGCTTTTCCTCCTCTCAGTTACTTGAAATGATTTTCATTCGAGCAAAACTTATGGTGGACGGCACGGTGAGGGCACGGCACAGAAAACGTGTCGCACACACAGCGCTAGACACCGTGCCAAAAACTACACCCAGAGAATCGTTTCGTTCCAACAAAGAAAATTAGCTGATATTTCTTTTATAAAGACGTGCAGAAAAATATTTTCTTTTAACCAAGGAGCCGTGTTTGATTCGAAGAAATATTAACTTTTGGATCAAAGAAGGCTTCCTTAAATCTAAGAAAGCTCCTAGGATTGAAAGAAAAAAAATTCTTTACATCTACATCGCAGAAACGACACTGTAAAAAGCTTACGAACGAAATACTTTGCAACGTTACGAACAATTTTCGTTCTTT